CTCACACAGAGGTCCATAGACTCACAAAGAGACCAGCAGACTCACACAGAGATCCATAGACTCACACAGAGACCAGCAGATTCACACAGAGATCCATAGACTCACACAGAGATCCATAGACTCACATAGAGACCAGCAGATTCACACAGAGATCCATAGACTCACACAGAGATCCATAGACTCACACAGAGATCCATAGACTCACAAATAGACCAGCAGACTCACACAGAGATCCATAGACTCACAAATAGACCAGCAGACTCACACAGAGATCCATAGACTAACAAAGAGACCAGCAGACTCACAGAGATCCATAGACTCACACAGAGACCAGCAGACTCACAAAGAGAGCCATCGACTCACACAGAGATTCATACACTCACAAAAAGATGAGCAGACTCACACAGAGAGCCATCGACTCACAAAGAGACCAGCAGACTCACACAGAGATCCATAGACTCACAAAAAGACGAGCAGACTCACACAGAGAGCCATCGACTCACAAACAGACCAGCAGACTCACACAGATATCCATAGACTCACAAAGAGACCAGCAGACTCACACAGAGGTCCATCGACTCACACAGAGACCAGCAGACTCACACAGAGAGCCATCGACTCACAGAGACCAGCAGACTCACACAGAGATCCATAGACTCACACAGAGACCAGCAGACTCACACAGAGAGCCATCGACTCACACAGAGACCAGCAGACTCACACAGAGATCCATAGACTCACAAAGAGACCAGCAGACTCACACAGAGATCCATAGACTCACACAAAGACCAGCAGACTCACACAGAGAGCCATCGACTCACACAGAGACCAGCAGACTCACACAGAGATCCATAGACTCACAAAGAGACCAGCAGACTCACACAGAGATCCATAGACTCACACAGAGACCAGCAGACTCGTACAGAGAGCCATCGACTCACACAGAGACCAGCAGACTCACACAGAGGTCCATCGACTCACACAGAGACCAGCAGACTCACACAGAGAGCCATCGACTCACACAGAGACCAGCAGACTCACACAGAGATCCATCGACTCACACAGAGACCAGCAGACTCACACAGAGATCCATCGACTCACACAGAGACCAGCAGACTCACACAGAGAGCCATCGACTCACACAGAGACCAGCAGACTCACACAGAGACCCATAGACTCACACAGAGACCAGCAGACTCGCACAGAGATCCATAGACTCACAAAGACACCAGCAGACTCACACAGAGATCCATAGACTCACAAAGAGACCAGAAAACTCACACAGAGATCCATAGACTCACACAGAGACCAGCAGGTCACACAGAGATCCATAGACTCATACAGAGAGCCATCGACTCACAAAGAGACCATCAGACTCACACAGAGATCCATAGACTCACATAGAGACTAGCAGACTCACAGAAATTCATGGACTCACGTAGATTCCAGCAGACTCACACAGAGAGCCATGGACTCACACAGTGACCAGCAAATTCACACAGAAATCCATAGTCTGTCATAGCTTTGTATGGATATTTGACTGCGTTGATAACAAAAAATTATACCCAATATTGAGTGAAATAACAGAATAATAGCCAAAGCTGGAAACCACAGAGTTTCAAACAACAGCAACAATAACAACACAGACGTGTATACAAATCACGCAGACTCTGTGCATTATGCAAAATAAGTAATATAAAAAAAATTTAAACATGCTTTAATTAAATGTACCGTACTAGTAATGTAAGAACTCCTCGACTCCAGGAAGTGGCCCCGAAGTTTGCCATAACGTAAGGGACCGTGTTGATTTACAGCCAACGTCAGTTGAGCGTGGACAATTAGACCCAAGCCGAAACATAACATATAAAACATGTTTAATGATAGAATATAGTATTGTCATCAGTATGACATAAGTATACCAAGTTTGCAATCAATACCACATTGGGAAGTGGGTAACAATTGAGTTGCAAGATTTGAGGCTACAACAGCAACAGACAGACAGAGTTAATAAAATGCGTGTAAATAATAATAACACCACATTACAGTTCCCGAGGAACTGCAATGTGGTTCATCTTGTCTGAGGTCGCCATGAACATCGATGGCAGTAAATGTGACTACCGGCAGCAGCGGTGATGCAGCTACGGACGAACTGTGGACCGTGGTTTCGTTGCGACCAGGACTCATCAGTGCGGTGGTAGTCACAGTGTCGTCACTGCTGCGATGTCTGCCTCTGGGAGCCATATGAAGCGTGTGCCACGTGGGGTCGCCACATCAACACCGTGGGGCCCAGTGTACGTGTGTATGTTGAACTGATGATGATGATTAGGTATGTTGATCTTCTTTCGCACCGTACGTAGCCAACCGCACTAATCGGAGGTGCGGCGGAAGGACAACAAACTAAACACACAAAAAGCAGTTCTCAAGAAATTCGTCTTTAATTCATCTGATGCCGGCGATAATCACGTCTGTAGGTAACCGATAAAGTAAGGACGATCGTAATATTGAGTTTGCGAGTAATCGCGCGCGGTGTTGCAGCTGCATCTCGCCACTGCCTGTGGGAGCCATCCGCAGGGAGCGCATTAAACCCGCGCACGCGAGCGAGGGGGCAACGCTCGATCCCATCGTACAGAAGCGACGGGTTGAGATTGGTCCACACTTTGCTGTAACGCAGCCCGGGTGCGGGCTCCTCCCCGACGCGCCCAGCCAAAGCGTCAAGGGGAGTTTCGCAAGATCTGTTGCGGTGATCCGCCAACCCTCGCTGCTGACTCCACACACGGCGCAAGATCGTAGCCCACGTGCAGCGTAGCCACCGCCGCCACTTAACGAAGAGACAAAAAAACAACCCCTTCCATTGTTTCTCTACAGCGTGCTCAGACGAGCTGACTATTGTTGGACGCTACGGTGCAGTGCGAGGTTGGTTCGTCCAATACCCACGGGAAACACGGGCGAGTCGGTCGACTGCCCGTCCGCTGGCACCGGCGGCGTTCGTTAGGCATGATTCCTCCGGGGGATGCACTCAGATGAAATCAATGTTTGATGCGGAGCGAGGGGGCAATGCCAGCGAAACGCCGCGGAACATTTGCCCGCGTGAATAATTGAGGTGGCATGCGGCTCAGGGCCCACGCGGAGTCGCTTCTGCGTAAAAAAAAGTGGTTGGGGGGAGGGGTGCTGGAGGGGGGTGGCTGAGAGCGCATTCGTGAAGCTCAATTTGTCGGAAAAACGAACACGCTGTTCGGCACAGATACGCGATATACAACACCAAGAGGGAGAGGGGTGGGGGGAGAGGCGGTGTGTGAGAGAGTCGAGATGGAGAATTGGCGACGATCCATCGACTCGCTGCATCGGATCGCAGACTTTGCGAGCTCAGCTGGCGATGCGCTCCCGTCGAGCTGAGCGCGGCTCTTTGACTCCCGAGTCCGCGTCACTCGCCACCGTGGGTTGGCCGGGAGCGGGAATTCGAACCGATGGGGCGTCGGGGTTCGTAGCGCAGTGCGCTAACCACGGCGCCAGCGCTCCCCGCACTCACCCTGGGCAAAGCTCCCCCGTATAGCCTCGACAGAATTTGGGGGAAAGTGCTGTTACCGAGCACCAATGAAGGCCTGCACGGTACACGAGGGGGAGATGGGGGGGGGGGGGCAACACTGCGACCGGCCGCCTTTGTCTCCCCAAGGGCGATGTTTACACGCTGAACCAAGTACTCATTTGAGGCCGAGTCAGCCGAGGCGAGGCCCGGGACCGGTTCAGATAATCATCACCGGTGTTGGTGACCGTGAGCGGGAATCGAACTCGGGTGGCCGGGTTATGAGCGCAGCGCGCTAACCACTGCGCCACCGCTCCCCACAATGGGTGGATGCATGGCAGTGCGCCATGGCGGCCTTGGTAGGCGCCGATCGCTCACAGCACTTGACCCAAGATGGTGTTGAGGCTATACGGGGGATCTTTGTCTGAGTCACACATCCCAGGGCTATGGAGGCTCAGGCCCTGCTTGGGTTGAGGTTGGGGGGTGACCCCGGGTGGTTTATTCGATCAGAAGGCGTCGATACTTTTCCTGCGCGTCGGCTGTAAATAGTTGATGGTGATGATGATGTTCGTCCCGGTGGAGGGCAGGCGGGTGCGGGGAAGAGGGTGGGTGGGCTGGGGGTGGAGGAGGCTCGTGAAGGACGCTGCTGCTGGGCTGTTGGAGGCAGTCGTCCTCCAACAACGACGGAGGGCAGAGGAGCGACGCTCACAACAACGAGCGGAGGCACCGGACGGATAAAATGCGGCAAGTTGGCACAGTTAGTTGGGGGCACAGGTGGTGCATCTGCCAGTCATCTCAGTCAGTCGACCCATGGCACCTGGGTCTGTCCCGTGACCTCCTGCCAGCGGGCGTTCGACACTTCACGTGGCCTTAAAGTGCACATGGCCTGGCACGAGCGCCGTGGTGACGTCACCGCCACTTCGTGGCGAATCGGGGGTATTGGGGGGAGGGCGGGCACGTGAGTGGTGATTCTGGTGGCAGCGAGAATTTGGATCAGCATTGCCGTCAATATCACGGCGCCGTGGTGGTGGTGGCGGTGGCCCCTCTGATCCGGCACTGCTGTGGAGGCAGCAGCGACAGTTGGTGGATCACACAGAGATGGGCCCACTTTGGTGGGCGTCGAGGAGGAGCCGTAGCCCCTGGCTGTCCTAGGAGTTGGTACAGCAGAGTGTGTGGACACATCTCCATCTGTTCCACACTCCCGTCCCGGGGGTGGGCATCCAAGAGGAGCCGCGGCTCCGCCAGGAGAATACGGTGCAGCAACTCCGATTGGCGCGGTTGGCAAGGTACGGTGCGAAAGAAGGCCAGAATACACACGTCAAAAATGTGGACTCCACCTTGTCCGTTTTTATGGGATCGAGTGTTTCCCCCTCGCACGCACGCACTCACGGGTCTTCTGCGGGTGCTCCGTTTCGTCCCCACGTGTAAGCGCTTTTGTTTTTGGGGGTCCAGGGGGGGGGCGGGGTAGGGGGTCACTGACCTTTGACATCGGAGGAGAACCGGGCCGAGTGTCGCGACACGAAGAGCTGCAGCTGCTGGTCGAGATGGCACGACGTGGAGTCCACGTCCCAGGCACGCACACCTGGACACCACACACACCGTGAACATCAACATCATCATCATCACTCTCAACATCACCACTACACCCTCAACATCATCACCATCAGCATCACCATCATCACCGTGAATATCATCATCATCACTCTCAACATCACCACTACACCTTCAACATCATCACCCTCAGCATCACCACCACACCGTGAACATCATCATCACTCTCAACATCACCACTACACCCTCAACAACATCATCAGCATCACCACCACACCAGCACCATGAAGATTATCGCCATCACCATTATCACTCTCGACATCACTCTCAACATCATCACCCCCAACATCATCCTCAACATTATCACCCTTAACATCATCAACACGATCAACACCGATACCATCACCATTAACAACATCATCATCACCAACACCATCACCAACATCATCACCAACATCATCATCATCGATTTCTAGCCATTGTCAAAACTGCAATCATCACTCTTGGCATGATCATCATCATTGCAACCATCATTACCACTATTGGCATCATAGCATCACTATCATCACCATCATCACCAAAATCATCATAGCCAGCATCAACATCACCACCATCCCCCATCTGTCCCATGCCCCCCAACCCGTGCCATGCCCCCCATCTGTGCCATGCCCCCCACCCCGTGCCATGCTCCCCATCTGTGCCATGCCCCCCACCCCGTGCCATGCCCCCCATCTGTGCCATACCCCCCACCCCGTGCGATGCTCCCCATCTGTGCCATACCCCCCACCCCGTGCCATGCCCCCCATCTGTGCCATGCCCCCCACCCCGTGCCATGCTCCCCATCTGTGCCATACCCCCCACCCCGTGCCATGCCCCCCATCTGTGCCATGCCCCGCAACCCGTGTCATGCCCCCCACCCCGTGCCATGCCCCCCATCTGTCCCATGCCCCCCACCCCGTGCCATGCCCCCCAACCCGTGCCATGCCCCCCAGCCCGTGCCATGCCCCCCATCTGTCCCATGCCCCCCACCCCGTGCCATGCCCCCCATCTGTCCCATGCCCCTCAACCCGTGCCATGCCAAGCACCGCTTCATTTCCCATTCCCCCCCTCACGCTCCCCCGCCCCCCCCACAACGCGAGGCAGCGCCACCGCCCTCACTGCGGAGACCGAGCAGAGGGGGTCAGGGGCAGGAGGGGAGAGAGAGAAATGGAGAGAGAAAGCAGAGGGAGGAGGTGAATAGAAATGAGCGAGAAGAGAGGGAGGGAGGTAAGAGATAAAGGCGAGGGAATAGAGATGAGAGAGTCGGAGAGAACGGGAAGAGATAAGCGAGAGGGATCAGACAAAGGAGAAGCAAGGGAGATGGAGACGAGACGAGATTAGATGTGAGAGAGACGAGATGTGAGAGAGACGACATGTAAGAGGAAGAGTAAGGAACTACGAGGAGTGAATCGGAGAGCGAAGAGAGAGAGAGAGAGAAAGAGAAGATGAAGATAGCGAACACACGAAGAAACTAGAGAGAAAAAAAAATGAAACATGAGAGTGACCAGAGAGTAAACAAAGAGGGGGGAGAGAGAGAGAAAATGATATAAAGAGATAACGAGATATGCAACGCGCGAGAGAACAAGAGACGGCAGAGCAATAGAGCAACCGAAATAGAGCAGAGAAAGAGAGAGAGAGAGGGAAAGAGAGGAAAAGTGAATATCGTGCAGTGATTATCCTCAATGCGTCACACGCCGGCGAGAGGCAACTCCCTCTCTTCACATGCAGTCCCCTCTCCTTCCATCTCTGTCCTCTCTCTCTCTCATTCTCTCCCGCCTCGATCAGCAGCAGAGTCACACGTTTGCTGGAACCGATGCTGATCAACTGCCAGACGTTAAACCGGTGAATGTTGTTACACCAATACCGCCGCTACGATGTCATTCCCAGAAGGCCCGTGGAGGCTGATGGGATGCGTAAGATACAACACTATTTTTGTGCATGTACATGGACGGAGACAGATGGGTGGAGGGAGGAGCGTCGCCCGTGTGTTGAGTTGGCAGCCACGAGCCAAGAGTCAGCAAAGCCATTGCGATTCAACTGGGGCCTTCACAGGCAGGGCACGTGGCATCATCCTGCAGAGAGTAAGTGTCGGGCACTGATCGGCGAAAGAGCCTACGGACTCACACAGACACCCGCAGCCTCACGGAGAGGTCCATAGACTCTCATAGAGGACAACGATAAAGATCCCCCGTGTCGCCTTAACAGACTGTTAGGGCAAGTGCTGTTAGCGAGCAGCACCTATGAAGGTCGGCACGGCACACGAGGGGGTGGGTGGCCAACACCACGCCCGGCCGCCTTTGTCTCCCCAGTGGCGATATTTACACACCGCACCAGGTTCTCATTTGAGGCTGAGTCGACCTAGGGGAGGCCCAGGAGTGGTTCATTGTGACTGGTGTTGGTCGTGAGCGGAAATCGAACTCGGGTCGCCGGGTTCGTAGCACAGCGCGCTCACCGCTACACCCATAAAGACCACACACACTCACACAGAGATCAACATACTCACCCAAAGACCCGCAGACTCACGCAGAAATCCACAGACTCTCATAGAGACCCTGGCCGGCTCACGTAGAGACCCATAGGCTGACATAGAGACTCACAGAGCTACGTAGACTCACAGAGACCCAGAGACTCGCATAGAGAGATCGATGCACTGATGGATGATTCGATCCGGCTGATGACGATGATGAACGGACGTCACGGAAACGTTGGACGAAGACCAAACGAAAAATGCAGCGCGTTGGACGATGCGGCGACTCGTGACACGAACGCTGTCATTGTTCGCTCGCAGGAATCTCCATGGCGCTGTGCGAGAGCGCATCCTGCCCGTGCAGGAAAGGGCGTAGCCGCTCTTCGTGGTGCCGAATCGATCATTCGTCCACCACCCCCCCCCCCCCCAGCAGAAGCGAGGCTAACGCAGCGGCCGCTGATGCAGATTGGGGCCTCGGTGTCTTATCGAGACCTCATCTCTCCCCTCGTCTCCCATCTTCTCTCTTCCCTTCCACTGGCACCTCTTCCACGTCCCTTTCCCTCACTTCCCTCTTTTCTCCCCCCACCTCTCACCTCCATCATCACCTCGTCTCTCACTCGCTTTAACATAGAAGTGCGTTGTATCACCTCCAATCTCATCATCTCCCTCTTCTACTCTCCCCCTCGTCTCCCCTCTATCCCCTTCTCTCTCTCTCTCTCTCTCCTCTTTATCTCTTCTCTCTCTCTCTCTCATCGCGTAGTTCCGCGGGGCATCGCCTTGACACAAAACACGCGAACCGCATGGCGCTGCTCGTGAGCGCCTCCTGCCCGTGTAGCACAGGGCGTAGCCGCTCACTGTGGTGCTCGTCCCGCCCGCCCACCCGCCAGCAGCGGCGAGGCTAACGCAGCGGTCGCCGGTGCAGATTGGGACCTCGATCGTCTCATTTATTCAGCCACGCGAGGGCTCAATCGTCGATTGTTACTGAAGCGCGCGGAACCCGGAGAAACGTCGGCCGATGCCAGCTGATGGCGCGACTGCGTGAGCTGTGCCGAGGGGTCCCCCAAAGCAGCAGACTGGCTCCACGTTGTTCCCTGCGCCGTTGGCTTCACGTGGGCCACGGCACGAGCTTCGCGGCTCCTTCGGCGACTCTCCCAGTGGACAAAAAATGAAACACTCAACACATTCGTCAATAGCACTGTTGGGTTAAAAGAGAAATCAATACATATTATAGGCGACGTTTCGGGCAATGGCCGAAACGTCGTTATAGCAGATAATATAGAGAGGCCAGAAGAGAGACAGAGTGGACCTGGGAGGATAGCATTCTTAAAAAATATATATTTTCTGATGACCAGTTGTGTAAATTGCCACGTGAATAGTTCCACTAACAGCAGCTATCGCGTGCCAGATAAAACCCCTTCAATGATAAATACGACTAAATTATCATGATTTTTTTTTTACTAATTTACATTCAAAATTAAATTATGCAACGTTGTTGTCTTGTGTAAAGGCCATCGCCAAGATGATGACGGCGATGGCGCGGCGAGACCAAGGCGGGGTGGGCGGTGCGACGCGCAGTGCTGAAGCTTTCTCATTTGTAATCCGGCCACTAAGAGGATTTTGCGGGATGAAAATAACCTGCAGACAGACACGTGGGTCGAGCGCTGTGTGCACGCCCGTCTCTGTGTGTGCGTGTGTGTGAACCCGGCCACCCCGAGGTCGATTCCCGCTCACGTCCAACACCGGTGGCGGTTATCTGAACCGATCCTGGGCCTCCTCTAGGTCGACTCAGCCTTAAGTGAGTACCTGGTGTGTTGTGTAAACATCGCCACTAGGGAGACAAAGGCGGACGGGCGTGGTCCTGCCCCCCCCCGCTCCCCCTCTTGTTCCGTGCTGGCTGTCATAGGTGCTCGCTAACAGCACTTGCTCCAACAGTCTGTTAAGGTTATACGCGGATCTTTGTCTTTGTATGTGCGTATGGGGAGCGGTGGCGCAATGGTTAGCCTACTGCGCTACGAACCCGGCGACCCGACTTCGATTCCTGTTCACGGACACCAGTAGCAGTAACGATTATCTGAATCGGTTCTGAGCCTCATCTTGGTCGACTCAGCCTCAAATGACGACCTGGCGCGGTGTGTAAAACATCAACACTCGGGAGACAAAAGACAAAAGCGTCAGGGCGTGGTGATTGGTCACCCACCCATCCCCCTCGAGTGCCGGGAACGGCCTTCAGAGATGCTCGCTAACATCACACTTGCCCCAACAATCTGTTTAGGGCTATACGGTGGATCTTTGCCTTTGTTATCAGCTACTATTTGAGCCAATGTATACATTCATACTAAGAGTATGAGAGTATGAATGTATAGTCAATCTGCTCCTTTGGGGACAGTTAACACAGCCGATGTCGTATGAATGTATGCATGTTGAACTTCTTTCACACGGTACGTAGCCAACCATCACTGGCATTGCCCAACGTTCCCTCGGTCCGGTGTGCCTGAGTTTTAGTTCACGATTGAGCCATCGCGTGGCTGAAGATACGAGTCGTCGAGACCCCAATCCGCGTCGGCGACCGCTGCGTTCGCCTCGCTGCCGCTGGGAGGGCGGGCGAACGATCGATTCAGCACCACGGACAGCGGCTACGCCCTGTGCTCCACGGGACAGGATGCGCTCGCGCGCAGCGCCATGGGATACGCTTTTGTTTCAAGGTGATGCCCCGTGGAATCACGCGATGGAGAGAGAGGAGAGAGAAGGGGGTGGGTTGGGGGGGAGAGTAGAAGGGGGAGATGAGGAGATCAGAGGTGGGAGATGCAGTTCTGTATTAAAGCGAGTGAGAGTGGGAGACGAGGTGATGACGGAAGAGGAATCGATGGGAGAGAGCAGCAAAGGAGAGAGAAAAGAGGAGAAACGACGGGATGAGTGGGGAGAGGGGAGGGGAAGAGATGTGGAAGAGGTGCGGGTGGAAGGGTGGGGGGGTATAGAAGAGGGGAGATGAGGCTAGACAGGAGAGGAGAGAGTGGGACGGATTTGAGGTGCGAACGGAGCGCATGGGATATGGGAGATAAGTGGGGGTAGCGTGGAGGGGAACAGAGAGAGAGGTCACGATGAGAATTAAAGTTGACCAGGGAAGAGGGAGAGAGAGAGAGGCAGAGGTGAGACTGCGAGACACCAGCAGGCAGAGACTTGCCGCCACACAAAGCAGCGGCCAAGGAACGCGGCGAACACGGGTGCGAGATAGCGAGAGAGAAAGAGAGAGAGTAAAGAACTCAGCAGAAGACGAGGGGGGAGAAGAGGAGTATCTTGGCAGCCCCGGGGGCAGCGGTGCGGTGCGGTGCGGGGGGGGACACGGTAGAAGCGGTCACCACTCGCGAACAGCCCTCTCTCACCTCTCTCCACGTCCGCCACCGCGGCCCGCACTTGATTCTCGCTGGCGAGTTCGCCCAGCACCACGAGCAGGGCGTGACGCGGCGAGCCGGACGGGGACGAAGCCTCGCGGGGTGAGAGGCCCAGCGGTGAGGGACGGGCGCCTGCCTCGGGGCCCGGAGGGCACCAGGGCGCTTCCAGAGCGCTCCCTGCCACGTCCATGCCGGCGAGTGTCCGCGCGACGGGGATGAGTTGTTTTTTGGGGGATGCGCCGTGAGAGCGCCGCTCTTTATGCGCGGCGCTGCCGCACTCCCGCGGCCAATCGCGCGGGGCGCGGGGGGCGGAGCGCGAGACGCGAGACGGGCGAGAGAGAGGGGGGGGGGAGATTGAGAGAGACGAGGATTTTTTTATATTAGAATTGCTCTTCCTGGGTTATTGAAATACAATTTGAATTTGTGTAATGTGTCTGTGTGTAACAGTGAATAGGCGTGTACGCAAGTGTGTGTCTGTGTGTGATTGAGTATCCGTCAGTCATCCACAGTGAGTCAACCCAGAACACCTGGGGTCTGTCACGTGACCTCTTCCTTCCAGCAGCAAAAAGTCTTCCACACTTCGCGTGACGGGTGGCCTCAACGTGCACCTAGCTTGGCACATCATTTAAACCATAATACCTGGGGTCTGTCTCGTGATCTCCTGCGAGCGGCGAGCCTTCCACATTGCAGCAGAGGTCGCAAACGGGTTTTGATTCCTTACCCGTACCCGGCCGCACCAGGGTCGCAAACGGGTACCCGTACCCGGCCGTACCCGTACCCTACCCATACCCGGCCGGGTATCGGTAGGGTACGGGAATCGGGTACCTGATTGCGACCTCTGGGATGAAGCCATGTTACAGGCGCGGGTGGGTTGATTTTAGGAACTTGAATTGTGAGAAGAGACAAGACGTTGGGAAATGAGTGACAAACGGTGACTCACCAGTGACTCACGGCCTACCCGTACCCGTACCCGGCCGCACCAGGGTCGCAAACGGGTACCCGTACCCGGCTACCCGTACCCGGGCGGGTACGGGTAGGGTACGGGTATCGGGTACCCGGTTGCGACCTCTGCATTGCAGATGGCCGAAACGTGCACCGAGCCTGGCACAAAGAGTTGTGGTGACGTCACTGTCGAACGGCGGCTGCCGTGATTGAGTGTAGGTTGTTTGTGAGTGTGTGTTAAGTGAGTAGAGCGTTGGCTCTCTGGCATGGTCCGAAACGTCACCGATTATATACTCCTTTTAAAGGCCACGGTGTTGTTATTGACGAATGTGTTGAGTTGTTGTTGTTGTTGTTGTTAATTGTGCTTGTGCACCACTACTGCCAACGCAGCAGCAACACCACATATCTTGCAACAGGAGACTCGATCCTGGCCTGCTGAGTTCACATCTGGTTCTACAAACAGTCGGCCTGAATCTCTCCTCCAGGCTAGGACGCGCCCATGCAAACAGCCGGCCGAGTCACGGCCACAAAACCTGCCCATGTCATCGATGAGGCCCTGGGTTGTGAGCGAGCGCTATACGTTGAAGCGGTCCCGGGCCTCACCTCGGTCGACTCAACCTCAAATGTGTACCCCCCCCCCACCCCGGTGCGGTGTGTAAACGTCAGCACTGGGGAGACAAAGACGGCCGGGCTCGGTGTTGCTCGCTAACAGAACTTGCCCCCAGGAGTCTCTTGAAGGCTATACGGGGGATCTTTGTCTTTGTAAGCGTGGACACATGAACAAAGACAAAGATCTCCCCTATAGCCTACACAGGCCGTTGGGGCAAGTGCTGTTAGCGAGCACATGCGGACGCCAACACGGTCGCACGAGAGGGTGGGCGGCCAGCACCACGCCCGGCCGCCTTTGTCTCCCCAGTGGTCAAATTTACACACCGCACCGGGAACTCATTTGCGGTTGAGTAGACTTAGCCGAGGTCCAGGACCGGTCCGGATAATCATTGCTGCCGGGTTCGTAGCGCAAGCGCACTAACCGCTACACCACCGCTCCCCACTACTGATTTAGTACCCACCCAGTCACTCACCGCCGCTACAACAGGACGCACACTCATGCACCGCGAATGAGACGAGACGATTTGGGTATCCCAACAGCTGCCAGACGTTCCTGTCGAGTCGTCACTGACCGCCTCGTGTTAAATCAAGACGCTGCATGTGCAGCAAATGCGTTGCTGTGAACCAGTCCGCCAGCCCATGCGACAGCTGGACGGTGCTGGTGGTGACGGTGGTGGCGGCGGTGGTGACGGTGGTGGTGGCGGTGGTGGTGGCGGTGATGGTGGCGTTGTGGTGGCGTTAGTAATGATGGTGGCGGTGGTGGTAGCGGTGGTGGTGATAGTAGTGGTGGTGGTGGTGGCGGTAGTGGTGGCGGTGGTGGTGGCGTTAGTAATGATGGTGGCGGTGGTGGTGGCGGTGGTGGTGATGGTAGTGGTGGCGGTGGTGGTTGCGGTAGTGGTAGTGGTGGCGTTAGGAATGATGGTGGCGGTGGTGGTGGCGGTGATGGTAGTGGTGGCGGTGGTGGTGGCGGTGGTGGTGGTGGAGGTGGCGGTGGTGGTGGCGGTAGTATTGGTGGTGGTACGAACAACACTTGTCCCAACAGTCTGTTCAGGCTATATGGCGGATCTTTGTTTTTTGCTGGTGACGGTGGTAGTGGTGACGGTGGTGGTGGCGTTAGTAATGATGGTGGCGGTGGTGGTGGCGGTGGTGGTGGCGTTAGGAATGATGGTGGCGGTGGTGGTGGTGGCGATGGTTGCGCTGCTGCACGTGGTTGTCTGTAATTCAGCGCCGTGGAAGCAGCAGCGAGGGTTGGTGGATCACCGCGCGAGTGATGTGACTCTCCCCCTTCCTGTGGGCGCTGACGAGGAGCCGCACCGCGGCTCGGCCATGAGAAGGCGGCACGGCAGACATGTGTGGACCAATCTCCATCAGTTCCATTATTCCCTACTCGTAAGTGAGAGTCGAGGAGGAGCCTTACCCTGGTTGGCCAGGCGAATGCTTTTCCATCTGTATGCCGGGATCGAGTGTTGCCCCCTCGCACGCGTGGGTTTTCTCCCGGTGCTCCGATTTCCTCAGTCATGTGTAGTGACATAGAATCGGTCACGTAGCAGGATAGCGCTGGCTGCTGGCAGGGAAGGGGATCTGCAGCTACAGCAGCCCTGGCTGACAGCAGGTCACGTGATAGACCAGAGAGGGATGTCGGTGAAGGGTCACGGAAGGGGCACGCCGAGAACCCGCTAGTAGGTTCCAGAAGGGGGACGTGGTCGGGGGCGGAGCCAGGCCACGCTGGCAGCATAAGAGGGGGCCCCGGGAGGGGAGCTCGGGGCTGTCGTGTGGAGTGGGGGGATCTCCGTCGTGCTGCTGCTGAGATCTTCACCGTCGTCACCGTCTTCGCCATCTCGGCGTTGCCAGTCAGGCAGTCGAGCAGCTGTCCTGACTGGGATCCGTAGTTATGAAGTGTGAATTGTTAAGGCCGCGTTAATAAACAGAGTGCCTCCTACTCTTAGTGTCTCTGAGCCAGTCACTACACATGTATAAACACGCATTCATTGGCAAATAACACCGTCATATGTAGAGGATCGCAGAGCTTGGGCAATTAATCCTTTTGGCGGTACCCCGGGGTACCAAATAAGTCAAAATGTCCGCGGCAATTAAGTATTCTATTTCTGGGACACTATTTTTCCCAGGGTTGTTACTTCACTCCGCGACTGGGGTACCAATCAATCCGCTATCAGTGCCACTCCGCGATGTCGAAACTCAGCGAGGACGATTGCGCCGAAACCCTGAACGCTCGCGGTACGCACCGTGGTGGTGCATCGTGTACAGCTCGTCGAGATGAGTCGATTGCCGCATCGCCGACCACCAACACAAACTACAAATGACTGCATCACGGACATGATGCGTGAGCCGGGGTACTATGGCTCCGCGGGGTGCCGCTATAGGGTTCACGTGTCGGTAGTGCCGGCTCCTCACCACCGGCTGTCTGCTGCAGCCTGTACACTCGTCTGCGGTTCCTCCCCCTGGCGCCTCCGAGTCGTCCTCTCTCTCTCCCCCCTCCCTCTCTCTTTCCAGGTCACAACAACAACATCCCCTCTGTAGCCTTTAACAGACTATTGGTGCAAGTGCTGTGAGCAATCGCCTATTAAAGCCGGGACGGCAAGCGAGGAGGTGGTGTGGATGTAAACACGCCCTGCTGCCTTTGTCTCTCCCAATGCTGATGTTTACACACCGCACCACTGGTGCTCATTTGAGGCTAAGTCGACCTAGGGGAGGCCCAGGACTGGTTTATATATTGGCAACCAATGCTGTCTGTGAGTGGGAATCGAACTCGGGTGGCCGGTTTCGTCGTGCAGTGAGCTAATCACTGCGCCACCGCTCCTTACCACTGCGACAACATCGTCATTTAGTTTCACGCGAAGGCTTTCGCGACCAAATATTATCCATAATTATAAAGGTTTTCGGGTTACATCGCGAAGGTATAAATGCTTTGTAACCCTCCACCATCGCCCGATGATGCTGGATGTAATTACCAGCAAAACGTCGTAGTCAAATTGTAAATTTTGTGGATTTGCTCTCGAACAAACCGGTGGGCCGAAGTAGTAACTAATTGGCGCGTTGTTTACGTGACAAGCCTTACCGGCTGTGTTGGGTGGTGGAGGGGGACGACACATTTATACTAACGCGATCTAACCCAAAAACCTTTATTATGAATAGTCATTCACCCACTCACCCACTCACATACAGTGAAGGAAAAAAGTATTTGATCCCCTGCTGATTTTGTACGTTTGCCCACTGACAAAGAAATGATCAGTCTATCATTTTAATGGGAGGTTTATTTGAACAGTGAGAGACAGAATAACAACAACAAAAATCCAGAAAAACGCATGTCAAAAATGTTATAAGTTGATTTGCATTTTAATGAGGGAAATAAGTATTTGACCCCTCTGCAAAACATGACTTAGTACTTGGTGGCAAAACCCTTGTTGGCAATCACAGAGGTCAGACGTTTCTTGTAGTTGGCCACCAGGTTTGCACACATCTCAGGAGGGATTTTGTCCCACTCCTCTTTGCAGATCTTTTCCAAGTCATTAAGGTTTCGAGGCTGACGTTTGGCAACTCGAAACTTCAGTTCCCTCCACAGATTTTCTATGGGATGAAGGTCTGGAGACTGGCTAGGCCACTCCAGGACCTTAATGTGCTTCTTCTTGAGCCACTCCTTTGTTGCCT